ATATACATACATATATATGTATATATATACATGTATGTATATATACATACATATATATGTATATATACATACATATATATATATATACATATATATACATAATATGTATATATATATATATATAATATATATATATATTTTTTTCCTCTCCCTTTCTCCCTGGTAGAATATATGCTTTCTGAGAGCAGGGGCTGCTTTACTTTTCTATTTGTATCTCCATTACTTAGCACAGTGCTTTTTCATTCATTCATTCATATTCATTCATTCATTCATTCATTCATTCATTCATTCATTCATTCACTACTCACACATAGCAGGTGTTTTCTAACTAGTTCACATTTATTGGATGATAGGATCATTAGGATTTAGAGCTGGAAGGGATCTTAGTCTAGTTCCCTATTTTTTTTTTTTGCTCTTAGGCAATTGGGGTTAAGTGACTTGCCCAGGGTCACACAGATAGTGTCTCATGACAGGATTTCAACTCATATCTATTTGACTCTAAGCTCAGTGCTCTGACACAAGACAGAACCACAACTGATGCAATCATGTGACCTTAGGCAAGTCACTTAACCTTTTTTTCTTCATTTATAAAACCACATGGTTGAATTAGATATCCTCTAAGGTCCCTTCCAGCTCAAAATCTATGTTCTAGATCTTTCCAACTCTAAAGGAATATTGGTCATTGGGTTAATTTCATTAAGGACCCAACCCATTTAAATGGCCACAAATTCTCAATAAATCTTTCTCTTTTCTTAAACCTAATTAGTAGAAAGTCTAAGAAAGAGAACTATAGGTCTTGGTTCTAGGGGGCCAGATCCAGGAAAAGAAATAGGATATAGAAAGAGCCTTCTAATAAGCAAATATATTTGTTAATGTTCCTAAAGCAAATGGATCCTTGTCTAAATGCCAATTCTTCTAAGTAAAGAGAAGACTAATTTCAAATGGTAAAGGGATAGTGTAAGGACAGTAGGAAACAGGAAAAAGAAAACAGGAGGATGTGACAAACACAAAAGGAGAAGAAAGGATTTATTTATATTAGCATTAAGGTTGGTAGCCACTGTTAATGCATTATTATTGGAGCTTTTCTTCTGCCTGTCTTTAAGGAAAGGAAGCATATTTATCTTTCTGGGGGTGTCTTAAAGGTATTTCTCTTCAAGGTTAATTCTAGCCCTTTTTTAATTCTATAAAATTTGCAAAGGGAAATGAAAATGTATATTAACTTCAAGGATAGGTTGACAAATTGTATTTTACAATGCTTTCTAGAACTGAATATTTTCTGTTATTATTCATAGTTATATCATTACCATGCATGACAGAGATAAATAAAACAGCCAAATCAGAAATCCAGTTAGCACCACAAACATCAGTGACTCATTTGATAAATAAGTTTGCAATCTTTTATTATTGGGCTGGTTGAGCTGGTGTGTCCTATGTACACATGTCATCAGAGAAGAACTGGTGAAGAGCCAAAAATAAAAATACAAAGGTCTCTGAGAGACCTGGATTGTTTTCAAAAATGAATATATCCATTAACAAAAATTACAGTGGCTCAGAAACAAGCCCACCTTCCTTTGCCAGAAAAAAGGGGGGCCAAGAAAGCATTAAAGAGGCTCATAATAATGACCCCTACAGGAGAAACTTTACTAAATACTTTAAAACAACTGCAGAGGGATTGGAAAGGGACCTCCACAGGGAGAAGCTCCTCTCACACTTTTCAAATAAATACATCTTCTTCGACGGTGCTAATAACATTAAGGCTTTAAGAATCACTTTCCAACTATTAAACTTTAGCGAAAAACACTTTTACCTGGAGGCAAGAAATAGCTCATTCTAGATGATCCATTAATCCCTGAACTAGGCCTATAAATGAAATGGTTTATAGAGAAAAGAATTAAAGAATTTACAATCTTTGTCAAAAAACCAAAGAGAACTTCCTTTATTTCTTGGTTTGAAATAAAGATTCATAGTTGGCTCCAGATAGTAATGTTTTTTTTTTAAATTAAATAATTTTATGAGCTTTTCAGATAGAGGAATAAAACCAAAGGGCCAGGCTGTTTTTCAACAACAACAACAAAAAGACAATAAAACAACAGAGAAGTAGGAGTCATTTGATAGGAGTTCACTAAAAATATTTACAGAGGACAGTAAAGCTGCATTGCTTTGGAGCCCACTAATTTTGATTTTGTAGTAGGTAATTTGGATGTGGCTTTAGTGGAAAATGACCTTTACACTGTGTGATTTGCTTTTCCAATAGAACTAACAGAGGAGGTGTGGTGTGATGGATGGATAAATTGTTTTCTGAGTAGGGAAGAACTGTATTCTAATCTTTCCTCTGGCACAGACTGGCTGACACTGGGCAAGTCACCTCCCTGTGTCCCCAGGCAAATCTCTAAGATTATAAGGAGCATAGCAGGGGGGAGAAGCTGCATGGAGAGAAAGAGGGCATTTCTTCACTACAGAGTTTCCAATACCCATGAAAATAAGAAGTCCCCAGGTGAGGGACAGGGAGGAAAGGGGATTAATGATGTAAAGAAATTTGAAAAAAATACTATCTACAGTTAAGCTATGTTACCTTGGGCAAGTCACTCGATCTTGGCGAGTCTCAACTTTCTTATCTATAAAACAGAGGTTCTGCACCTGACCAGGGGTTCTAAACCTGGGACCCACAGACCTCTTATATTATCCTAATTAATTAATTTTTTACTGTTATATCACCTATAATAGATTACTAATAACTTCCCAGAATCCATGGAGAGATTTCAATGGGTCCATGAACTTGGAGAGGAAAAAAAAAATACATTATTATTTTCACTAACCTTTAGTTTCCCTTTGTAATCTTACATATTTTAATTTGTGCATTTAAAAATATTGTTCTGAGAAAATGTTCATGGGTTTCAAAAGACTGACAGAGGGGTTCAGAAAGATTAAGAACCACTGAATGAGATTATCTGAAAAGTCTGCCTGCTACTTTCCTCCCCCAGAGCAGAGCTGTCCTTTTTTATCCATGTGAAGAATTCCTGGTGAGGACATTTCACCACTGCAGATTAGTACTGAACCACAATTTATCATCTTGGAAAGTTGCTTAGAGCACTGAAAAGTTCAGTGACTTATATAAGATCACACAACCTTTGTGGATCAGAGATGAGATTTAACCCACATCTTTTTGACTCTCAAGTCAGCTCTCTATCTACTATGTCATCACTGCCTCTCAAGAGTATAAGGCCATATAAAAGATCAGGCTGCTTTCCAATAACTTGGCATCCATTTATATGTGAGAAATATATTAACTACATATATCTATCTGCTCACCAAGCCAGACATGTCAGGACCTCTATCTAATCTAAAAAGATAACACTTTTAAAAGTCATTTATTGCATGCTTGTGGTTAAAATCATGAAATTCGAGGAATGAATATTGCATCATCCTCTCATCCAACCTCTTTTTTTTTTTTACACATGAGGAAACTGGGTGCCTAAGATATCTTGTGACAAAGCTGGGTAACTGCAGAGCTGAGCTTAGAATCAAGCCTTCCTAACATTCAGTCAAGTGTTCTTTCTTCTGTACCTGCTACTGCTCCAGAAAGCAATAAAAATTACATTTCCTCAAAACCAGCTTTTAATTTGACTCTCCATCAGTTCAGACTGACCTCTCATATAATCTTAATTAATTAAGTTTTACTATTCTATCACCTTTAACAGGTTTGCTAATAACTTCCCAGAATCATTCACCTTGTGAAACATCATTTTCAGCCCCCAACTTTTTTTTATGGACTCTACATACATTTACCAATGTCAGTTCTTTCTTCTTCTTCTTATGTATTCTCTTGCTAAGAAAACAATTCTAGACCCTTCACAAGTCCCTCTTTGGTTTTGCGTGACAATGTGACCAATGAATAGAATAGAATGCTACCCCATACACAGAGATTACATTTCTGGAGGAGGCTTTAAGGATTTTGAGACCATAATTATCATATTCACCTTTATAAAAAGATTGTAACAATAATAATACTTCATGGTGACTTGGCTTATTGTTATATAGATTTGGGTTGTCATCTGTTGGAATATCACAGCTCTCTAAAATGGGCTAGCATAAGCTATTTATATTATTGTGTCTAATATTCATTCTAATATTCATCTAATATGTACATATGTACATATGTATGCACACATCTACATATATGTATATAAATATATGTATGTATATATATGTATATATGTATGTGTGTATGCATTTATACACACACAGAGCCACCCCAACTAGACTGTAAGCCCAATGGTAGGCAATGATTATATCTCACACCTCTTTATAACTGCAGTGCTAGCAGAAGCATTCAATAAATCTTTGTTAATGATGATGTGGAAAACCCAAAGATTTACTTGTAGGTTTAGTGACCCTGAGTTTTTTTCCCACCAAAAAAAAAAAAAAGACAGGAGAGGCAAAGTATGTTTCTTTAAGGTCACTGAATAGGATGGTTCCTTGGAGAGTTTGTACCACCCTTTTATCCATTATTTACTGTTCAGTGGACTTTCCCCTGCTTTGTTTGTACTTTGAAAGATGACCTGTACTATTACTGATGCTAATTTAATTTTCAGAATACTGCACTGGGGTCTTTGGATGTTTGAGTTCTATTATGGGAACTAATTCGAACTTATAATAAGCAACCAAGGTATTAAATGTTTCTGAAGTCCATAGTCTGAACAGAGAACCTAATCTGGGTTACCATCCTTGGCAATGAAACTTAGGTCTAATAAAACTATTTAATACATTTAACTTATATTATTGGATTGAGTTACTACCCTTTGGAATAAGATATTGAGGAGTGTCTTGGCTTCACATACCTGCTGCCCTCTTGAGTCCTTGATGTATCGGTCAATTAATTACAAGACTTCAAACCCCGATTGGCAGAATTTCTCACTTGGAATGCTGCTACCACCATTTGGCTTGGTTTTTTTCAGGTTGGCAGTCCCGGATAGACTAGAAGCCATTGAACCATTTCTACACAAGTCAGGTGATGAAGAGATAACAGCAGTCTACAGGTTGTAAACAAATGAAGACCAAGGAGCAGACAGATTCTGTAAATAGAATTAAGTTCAGAGACAGGCATTCTCTTTTAGATAAAGCTGGTTATCAGTGACTTATTAGTGGCAGTTCTCCTTGCTCTTATCCTAAGTTTTTTATTTTGTTCATAGGTGGAGAAATGGTAGGCTATGCTGCCTTCACATTATCAGAGCCACAATTAGGAATTTCCAAGCCCAAAGAAAGCTTCATGAAACATGTTCTTAATTGAACTGGGAGGGGAATATTGTGTTATATGGGGGGGGGAGATCAAGATAGGGTAAAGAAGGAGTTGACCCTAACCTACCCTTTAGTACCTTTCTATTTTGACTAATTATTCTTGTTAATTAGATGCTAAGCTCTGTTGTTTCTATGCTATCGAAGCACTGTTGGTACCCCCTAAATCTGATGTCCTGAGACAAAGCCTTCATTGCCTTGCCTTACTTATGGTCCTATTCATTACCACCAATGCTGCTATTCAACATAATATCAATAATCTACTGTACCATTACAGGTGCAGTACATCTCTCCAGGTTGTTATTACTTGCTGGGCCTCTCATAAGAATATCTTACTAGACCAAGTTCAAGAGTACCTAAAAAGTGCAAGTCCAACAGGATAAGAAAGACAGAAGGACATAATAGATAGAGCATTGGACTTGGAATCACAAAGATCTGGGTTCAAATTCTAGCAATGTGACACTGGGCAAGTAACAACCTTTTCAATCCTCAGTTTCCTCAACTGTAAAATGGGACTCCTAATAGCACCTACAGGGTTGTGGTAAGGAGCAAAAATGCTTTAGAAATCTTAAAACTCTATATAAATGTAAGCTATGATAACTCATTATTTTCCTTGGTTTTGATAGTGTTTAATTATCATCATCATCATCATCATCATCATCACCATCATTATTATATTGTTTCCTTCAAGACTCAGATTGAGTTCTGTCTTATATATGAAGAATATATCCTACTCCTATCAGGTGCTAGGCCCCTCCTCTGCTCCCCAAACTTCCTTGTATTTATTCTATAAATACTTATATATGTATATGTGGGATCCTGTTATAGAATATAAACCCCTTGAGGGCATGGACTGTTCCATTTTTGTCTTTGTATCCCTAGCACCCAGCACAATACCTGGAGCATAGAGAATAATAAGGACATATTGACTGATTTATTGACATAGAGAAATTGTTTTCATCTTTTTCAATGATGCTCTGATGGAACTGGTCCTAGGGCAAGTCTCTATTTTGCTATTATTCTTTTATATGTGCTGTTCCGCTGACAACTGTATGAGTGGAAAAAATAACTGCTTCTTGCTATTGGATTCCCAGCAAAAGAACTTCAGGATCTCACAGATACTGCAATATACTTTAGTTGACATTTAATGAAATACATATAGTTGAATAAAAGTGTCAGGACATAAGCTCATCTTCTTTGGGCTCATTCTAGACATCTTTGGTACAAATCTAGAAGCAGACAAGATGATGGGAATGGTATATAACCTTATATACCATATAGGGCAGCTAGGTAGCACAGTGGATAAAGTTCTGGGCCTGGAGTCAGGAAGACCTGAGTTCAAATCTGGACTCAGACACCTACTAGCTGTGTGACCCCAGGCAAGTCATTTAACCCTGTTTACCTCAGTTTCCTCATCTGTAAAATGAGCTGGAGAAGGAAATGGCAAACCATTCTAGTATCTTTACCAAGAAAACCCCAAATGTGGTAACTAAGAGTTAGACACAACTGAACAATATAACCTTATCCTGTTCTCCAACAGTCATGATTTCTTTAGCTAGATCTTGAAAAGCTTTCTGTTCCATGCTACTTGAGAATTATATGTACTAGGTATTGCTCTTAAGTTTTCATGCAATAATTTTATATTCAGGTAATCATGGGCAATGGTTCAGTCTGTAATAATACTTTTATTCAGCTAGAACTTAACTCTTTGCATTCTTAAGGATATTTTGAAGTATGAATGTGTAGTAAATAGATTTGTCATCTTTCAGTCCATGGAAATCAATGAGCTTCTGATATATAATCCCAGATACTAAGTCATATTCTACTAGGTATTTGGTCAGTGCTTAATTTTTCAGCCTATAGGGAGGATGTGTTGCCTCTGTCATTTCCTTGTACTATCTATGTTGATCATTAAGCCCAGGTTCCTTAAGAATAACCATTCTGTAATCTCTTGTGGTGATGACTTATTCATGAATTAAACATAAACAATTTCCATAAACATTTCCATAAACAATTCTTCATGACTCATACAAGTCACCCATGAAGGACCTTTTGAGTACACTCCAAGATCTCTCTTGCTTTATAAGCTCCATCCAGACTTTCAGTTACATTTTACAAATTCAGTGGTTTGTATCTGTTGTCAGTCATTACTATTGATTGCTTGGTGAAGTCATGTCTATTTCTTATTGTCATTGTTGTAATCATTATTATCATCTCTGTTATAATTTTTTTCAATGGGTTTCAAATAGAAATGCTCCTAGGGTAAATTATTCTTTTAAATTTAATCTTTTTTATGGATTATTGAGAAAATAGGTAATATAACTGCTTTCTGTAGTTGAATAAAAGTATTTAGGGTGTAAGGTGTTAGATACTGTTGACTAAGCAATTAATAAAATGCTTTCTGGCATACTGAGTGATCCTTGGTCATTCCAGTATCAGTCAAGACAACAAAACATTTCCCTTATCCTGTTCCTCCATGATTTAGATCTCTGTTTTGAAAGCTTTTTCTACAATGTAGCACAGAGATAATGAGTACTTGATACATAGCAAGGAAGGAAACAACCATTTATCAAGCATCTACTATATGCCAGATACTGTACTAAGCACGCTGCAGATACTATTTCATTTGATCCTCAGAACAACTCTAGGAAGGTCATTGGGGCTGGATTTGAACCCAGGTCTTCCTGACTCCGGGTCTAGTTTCTAGCCACTGTACCAACTAACTGCCTAGATGGCAACACCTATTAAAAACTCTTCCTCTTCCTCTTTTTTCTTTTCTTATTTCTTCTTGTTATTCCCCTTCCCATTATCTCCTTCCTCTTTCTTCTTCATTACATAAAGCCTGAATTAATTTGCCTTAGAACAATTTTCATTTACTTTGGTTTTTGAAGGCTATTATCTGCACGTAGTTCTTATTGAGCACGTTGTGTGTGTGGTTTGTCCCTCGTTCTTGAAGAGGAACATGGTATCAGGAAGATGATGCCATGACTTGGAAGTGAATTGCATTTAAGTGAGGGCAGGCCTCACTTTCTCCTCTAGAGCCGTCTGAGTTTAGTAGCCAAATATAGATCAGGACAATTCATCAAGCACAAAACAATAACAACAACAATAGCTAGCCTGTACGTAGCTCTTTAAAGTTCCCAAAGTACTTTACATATTGCTCGTTTGATCCTCACAACAACCCTGGGAGGCAGATTCTATTATTATTCCCACTTTACATATGAAGAAATGGAGGCATAGAGAATTTAAATGGACTTTCCTAGGGTTGCACAGGTAGTGTCTGAATCAGAATTTGAACTCAGGTTTTCCTGATTCCAAGTCTAGCACTCTACTGTGCCACCTACCTGCACAGATGTACAAGTGCCTGTGCTGTGTTTTTGAATCCCTTTATAACATTGATATTCAGGGATAGAATTTATAGCCACTTTATAGACTAACTTGGTTTTACTGGAATTTTTTTTGTCATGTTTTTATTTTAATTGTCTCAAGAACTAGAAAGAAAATTGGAAATATTCAATATAGGAATATAGTAATATATTTTAATATTTCCAAACATGTATTTCCAGTATAGGAATATAGGAAATACAGGAAAAAATACTGGACAGAGAATTAGAAAAATATTTTATTCTCAGCTCTGCTAGTAATTAGTTATGCAGATCTAAGCAAATCATTTCCCCTTCTGAGTCTTGGTTTATTCATTTTTTTAAAGGAGCTTAATGTCTCAAGTCTTCCAGCTCTAAAAGTTCGTGATTCCGTGATTGGATACTTGGTAACATCTACATAATAATATGTTATGTTAGAATGGTGTTCTACTGTCTACAAAAAGGAGAGGAAGAATTTAACTCATAAATTCCACAGCCTTTAAATCTTCAAACACAGGTTTGTCTCTGCTTCTTAGTTTCCTAGTTAGAGTCTATTTGAAGCCATAGCTAATGCCTTTTCTTGGATGCTACCTTATATTCTGTTACTGCCAGTTAGCTTTGCCAAGGATATTAAAAATGCTACCTGGTGCTTTATGTCTTCTTGGCACCTCATTCTTTCTCTTTTGCTTCTCTGCCAAAGTAAACATCAACCTGGTATCAGCAGGAATAAGCTTAAGGAGGCTTTACTCCACATTTACTGAAGATAGCTTTACCCTTTTTCATTATTACTAGTATTAGTGTAGGACTGTAAAATGTAATTATTCATCATTTTTGGTATTTATATACATAAAGTGATAAAATGTTTTAATAATGGTTATTATTATAATGCTGGCTAGCATATCACACTTCTAGTTTGGCAAAGTGCTCCCAATGTGATCCTCAGAATAACCTCATAGTATAGGTGCTAATATTGACTGAATTTTATAGATTAGGCACTGAAGCTCTAAGAAGTTAACTCTCTTGCCCAAGATCAAACGTCTATTAAGTGACAGGTAGTATTAGAACCCAAGCCTTCTTTTCTTTTTTTTCTTTAATTTTTAAAAATTTTCAATTCTGAATTCTCTCCTTCCTTCCTGCCCTCCCTCCATTTATTGAGAAAGCAGAAGTATGATACCCATTATACTTATGAAGTCAGATAAAACATATTTCCACATTAGTCATGTTTCAAAAGAAAAAAAAAGCAAGAAAAATAAAGTGAAAGAAAATATGCTTCAATCTGTACTCAGAGTTCATCAGTTCTCTTTCTCTGGAGGTAAATAGCATTTTCAGCATAAGTCCTTCAGAATTGTCTTGGATCATCATACTGATCAGAGTAGCTAAGTCTTTCATACTTGATCACCATTATAGTATTGCTGTTA